GTTTCCAATTCAAATTATAAATCAATTCATACTTCATAATAAGTATTATCAATCAATTATTCAAACACTTACATACATTGAACACACTTTAAGAAAATATATAAAAACTTAGTTGAAAATCTGATATTTTTGCTCAACCACCAAGTCTACTCGCTCAACTAAAAGGGTCTGTCAGCCCACTCGCTCAGCCACCATGACTCGCTGTGCGGAAACAAAAACAGTGGGTTTTGCTCGCTCAGCAGCTACACTCGGTCAACGAGAAGTGTTTTACTCGCTTAGCTAGAATCCACTCGCTCAACGAGACTGCGTAATTCTGCAGCGCCAAAACTGTAGATTTTGCACCTTTCAACCACTCATGACCTATCCTATGCATCTTTCCCAACTTCTAACACTCTTAGATTGTATTCTAAACTAGATTTAGCCTAACCAAACATATCTAAACCAACCTAAACTCATTTTAAAGTGATTGATCATAAGATTCCAATCCAAAATTAACCAAAACCTCACTTTAGAGACCCAAATTTAATTCCACAAGTTATAGCTCATTTTTAAACAACTTAGGGACTCCATCAAGTCACAAATGACTTACCAACACCCTCTAAAATGACAATTTATACATAGAACCTAAAATTCAAAATCTCACTAGTTCAAACCCTTAAAATACACTTAAACAACTTTGTAAGTACTCCAAAATGACTACTACTCCATTCTAACACACATTTAAGCTAATTCTCATCCGAAACAAGTTGCAAATGACCAAATAACAACCCTAAAACAATTGTTTCTTTATCCTAACACCTATTTCTCAAACTCACCTATTAAAACTTCCCTTTTTAACTTCACCACCCAAATATTTGATCCTTCTTCCCTCTAAACTCTTTGATTTAAATTTCCAACATCAAAGCAACTTCATATTATATCATTCAATACGACAAAGACATCCAATTTCATCATATCAAACATAGATCATGCAATACAATAACATACACATCTAATTGATCTATAGCATAATTACTCAAATTAATACTCAATCAAGTTGATATGCAAACAACCACTAAACTTGCAAGACAATTATAGTTAATGTTAAAACATCTAACTTCCCTTACCTTACACTAAAGCAACTGAACTCTATAAACACCTAACCCTTGCTTACAGCTCAAGGAACTCTAGAAACACTTACAAAACACCGAACAAAGATCAGAGAGAGTCCTTAGGACCTCTGATCAACAAGAAGTTAGGAAAGGACATTACAACTCACATGCAACAAGAGCTCATTAAGCATGATCTAAATTAAGAACGAAAAAAGAAAAATAAGTCGAAACTTACTTGCTCTATTGAAGAAACTGATCGAGTAGAAACGTAAAACTCATTGCCGCGGTCGATTAGGTACCTCCTGATCGTCAAAGAGATGACTCAGTTAGAACTCTTAGAGAAAAGGTAGAGAACTTTAGAAAAATGGTTTCTAGAGAGAAGATATATTTTAAAATAGTGAAACTCATTTATAATAAAATTATTTATAAATAAATCATTTAATATTAAAATAACCGAGTCTCACTATTTTTAGACTATCACAACTTCTAACGTACCATTTTATGTGATTTTACATGTAAAATTTAATACAATTATAACCTAAGAAATAATAATTTATCTAACTTTTAAGAAAAATAATTATAGCGATAAAAAAATAAATTATACTTAAATATATTATCTATCCCTTTAATTTGCTTTTTGGTTCCTAAATTTTATTTTATTATCCCAAATTTTCTTTTGTCATTTTAGTCAATATTAAATAATATTTTGCTATTTAAATTTGATATGTGTCGATGGGCATATTACATCATCAAAAGATAGCAAAACCAAAATAATAATTTTAATATTACACATGTTTCAAAATAATAAATATGAATATATTTTAAGAATCATTTACAAATTTATAAAAATTAAGTTAAGATTATACTAACTTAGATAAAAGAACTAAAATTGAATATCAGCAATTAAGAAGGTTTGTAGAAATATTTACCATTACTATTATACTTTGACATGTATCTTTTGCAGGATTATCCACTTTCACCAGTCTGAAGAATCTCAATCTAAGTTTAAATCAAATCAACAATTTTGTGGTCTACGAAGGTATTTAAGAACATTAAGTTTAATTAATGGTTTGCCTATGAAAGAGACATGTTTAGGATAAAATCATTGCATTTTGAAGCTGCTAAATGTGATTACTTAGCAAAAGTTCATATATATTTGCATATTTTTAGTTAATTCACATTACATCTTGCAGGCTTACAAAGTACAAGCACATTGGATATGCTTGCTTTAGATATAAATGTTATAGATGGAAAGAAGCTAAGGGAGTCTTTACGAACTTTATCATCAATTAAGATGCTTTTTATGTGTAAGAGAGGTGCATCTCCATGTAAAATCCAACTTGAAATATATATATATATATATATATATATAGAAGTGTTGTTGATATTACTCCATACCTCTATATTTCGAGTTCACCTTCTAGTGTCAATTTCGCACCCCTTCCCCTTTGGATGGTCGTTTGAGCTTGAGAAACCTTACACACTCATCCAACCTCCACTAAACCTTTCATCAAACACTTGACATGCACGAGAAACTTCCTCCATTTCTCTATTTCGTTGCGTCCATTCTGAGTTTGGAAGAGCTCTATCTTAAAGAGTGGAGTTGCATCCATCAATTTTGTTTGTGGTTTACAATTAAATTGATATTTGGTGTCGAAAGGGTTTAATAGAAACTATGGAGTATATGTTCTATATACTATAGATAGCATTTAGGGTAACCATAGATTAACATAGAAAATTGTTAGTGAAAACAATAGTGTGAAATATTAGTGTAGTTTACAATCATAGCCACAAAGTTAAAGATAGCCAATTAGTGGACTTCTATTATCTAACCTGGCAGTGCTACCCTGATGTTGCTAAAATGAGTCATTCAGTTTGATTGAGTGTTGTATCCTAATGGGTTGATAGTTCTACCTTGATGTTTTTTATTTAATAGTTTTGTACCTTTTTATAATGTAAATGTAGTGTTATTTGGGTAAATAAAATATAGTGTTATTTGGATAAATGTAGTGTTACATCAATATATTTGTTATAACTTTTATACTTATATTCATTACTTTGATAGGGAATTTTGCCAACAATACAAGAATTTCTATCTGGTGTGGACCAAAGGTTGAGGGAGGTTGGAAAGAGGGCTTTTGGTGGAAAACAAAGAGGGGGAGAGGGAAATCAAGTTCTAATTTATAAACTCGAAGAACTTATTGAAAACCATCGTCTGTAGGTAATGACTGATGACGATTACTAATGGTATATTGAGGGATATATCCACCAATAAGTAACAAAATCCATTACCAACAATATTTGATCTGTGAGTAAATATGTATTTTGCATTTGTCATCAATAATAATCTGTCGATAATATACTAGTGGAAGTTATAGATAAATGAAGGAACTATAAATAAATAGTTAGAGGATAATGTTTAGGAAAAAAAAATTATATAAATCAGTAAATTGATAAATATAACTTTTCATGTATGCATAACCATGATTATAGGTATTGTAGCTGTGTTAAAGCTATCTTCATTTTTAATAGTTTATTCTTACATTTGTTATCTTAAGTCCTAATTTTACAGAGATTTAAATCATCATAAATAGTGTACTTGGTAACTAATACATATAGTGGTTGGTATCTTTTTTTGTAATCAATTCATTTTATCAATGGAACTTTTTGAACAATATATTTAAAGAAGAATTAGACATATAATTTGTAAGTTTGAATCAGCTAACTTAAAATTACTTTTTCTATTTTAAACCGTTAGTCTAGTTTTATGTAAAAAAAAATAATATAAAGCTTCTTTCAATACTAGAATTTTATATATATATATATATATATATATATATATTCACTTTTTAAAATTATAAATAAATATTTATGACAATTCAATTTAATACTTATAAACTTAAAAATATTGATTATTTATTTTAATATAATATATATTTATTAAGATAAATATACATAAATAATTTATTTAAGTAAATTCATTTTATCAATTGAACTGTTTGAACAATTTATTTAAGGAGGTAAGTTTGAGCGAACTAACTTAAAGTTACTTTTTCTTGTTTGTATTGCTTTATGTTAAATCGTTAGTCTAGTTTTATGTGAAATAAAATTAAAAATTTCTTTCAATACTAAAATTATAAATAAATTTTTATGATAATTCAATTTAATACTTATTCATAAACTTAAAAATATTTATTATTTATTTTAATTTTTTAATATAATATACATTTATTAATAAATACTAACTCGTCCTAGTCACGAGTTTAAAATTAACAATAGAATAAAATATTATAACACGGCAATTTGAGGTGTGACCTGAAGTCTAAACCATTTGTCACGGACACACCCGTAGTCAAACACGCGTTTGTTACTTTTGGATGAAATGATTAAAGAATTAAATAACATTATCACGTTTATAAAAGATTATATTTAATTTGGTATAAAAAACTATACAAACATTATTAAAATGTACTTCTTACTTAAAATAAAAACACATAAAACATAATCATCATTTAATAATGAAAATTTACTACACAAAAAAGAACACTAGAAACTATTAGAATTTTATTTGAAACTAAACAAGGTTAAACGAAATGGAGAAGTAATTTTCAAACGAGAAGAAAAATTGTAAAGCTAATTATTTATTAAGACACGTAATATCTGACTCTATCCATATGATGTGATATGCTAAGGCACAAAAATTTAAATTTAGTTCAAAACCAATTAAATATAAATAATAATTGGGAAAAGAATATTTTCTTGGTGGAGCCAACAGAAGTTATGGTCTTCCCTGTTGACCTGAAGTCAAGTGTCTTCATTTACACGGCTTGACAAAATAATGAAATAAGGAAATTTTCCTTTTATTTAAGGGATAGGTTGAGACGAAATCCTTGAAGTGGATGAAAAAGAAAATGAAGAGTTTGAGAGTGTGTTTCCTCATTTTCCTTTTATTGGAAGCCCTGTGGTGTGAAGGATGTTGGAGGGAAGAGAGAGAAGCACTTTTAGACCTACGTTTCCGTGAACAACCCGGTGATTGCTGTGAATGGGAAGGAGTGCACTGCAATCCCTCCACGGGGAGAGTGGCGCAACTCGATCTTCTTTTGATCTATGACCAACAATATATAAATTACTCTGATTTTTCTGTCTTCAAAGATTTGAAGAACCTCTCCTTGTCATCTAATACAGTTGGCTGTGTTGGGGATGCAGGTATTCGTTCCTATAATTGCTCTTTGCTTATTCAAAACTGCAAATCTGTGTTATGTTTTATGGAATACTCATTATTTCAACTTTCTTTTACATACTTTCCAGAGTTGCCAAATCTCCAGCTCCTTAGCTTCAATTATAACTATCTGGATAATGCTACCACCATTCTTCTATCTTGTTTGGATGGACTTCCATCTCTTAAGTCTCTTTATTTAAGTGATAATAAGTTCAGTACATCTTCACTAAACCACGGTGAGTACCAATTTTTAATTTATTTAAAGAAAAATGATAACAGTATTATTTTTTATTATCATGAAGATCTTCTATTTTTTTATACTATATATTTTTTTTTCACATTTGTTGGTGCATATATATAAGTTTTTGAAAGTGTGTCACGAAAGCTGCGTCGTAATCTGGAGGTCCTTGACATAAGTTGGAACCCTTTGACTAATGAGATCTTGCCATCCCTTGAGGAATTCACATCTTTAAAGGAACTGTATTTGTGTGGAACTGAATTGGACTCGGATCTTCACTTTGACGGTAACTTTTCCACTTCATTAATAGAGCTGAGTAGTTGTTAATTAATGGAGGATATATTCCTTGCTTGCAGGTTTATGCTCAACATTGAGGAATCTTGAGGTTCTTTATTTTTCCTATAACAACTTCAACCAAACTGATATTGGCTCTGCTCTCATTGGATTCTCATCCCTCAAGTCTTTTTATTTAGATAACAGTGCATTGATTTGGAGATCGATTTACAGTACGGCCTCATATATACTTTCCATATTATAAATCTTGATTACAAAATATATCCAGCTGTCTATAATCGGGATATGTATTTTTAGATATTTCAAAATTGAGTTCTTTGGAGTTCCTTGACTTATACGGGAACAACTTAAACGAGTCTGGCAGTATGTTGAGGCCTTTCAAAGGTTAGTTACGATTAACATTTGATAGCATTTTATATTTAAACAAGATATTACTCCCTTTCAACATATGGATATTCATCTCCTTATCATTTAATTAATTAATATGATAAATTGATGTTTTCAATTTTGTTTTATCAGATAATCAGACCTTTAAATGGCCAACCAATTTACGACATTTAGACCTGCGTGTAAACAGTTTGAGCAACAGATTTGTTCCATATCTGAGGGGTCTTCCACATCTTCAGTTTCTTGATTTAAGCTGCAATCAATTTCAAGGAGAGTTAGATATAAACGGTCAGTATTTTATAAATTTGTAACTTTATGTTTTTATTATAAAGATTTTGAGTATTTGATGTTATTTATTTTATTTTTTATAGAATGATGTATATAGTTAAGACTTGGGTGATAAAGTGGGTTAGGATATGTGGGTAGGTCCGACCCACTTAGTTCACTAAATCAGTTGGTTAAAGGTGGGTTAGTCAATCAGAGTCTACTAGTCTGCTTTCTTAAATTAAAATTAAAATAATTTAAAAGATTAATTTCTTTATATCATTTTTTTCTTAAATATTAACGTGTAATATTATTATAGTTTAAATCATTATTACTTACAAATTATATTTCAATTATTAATTATAACAGAGTAATTTAATATATAAAATATAATAATTATTTTATTTATCTAGATAAAACATTAATTAGTCAATTAAAATCTTAAGAATTTTTTATATGAGTAAATATATTTTTAATATCTATATGCATATGTATATGTATGAACAAATTTTAAAAAACATTTTTAACTAACAAAATTTTCAAAATCCATTCATAAAAGATATAAAACTTTAACTCATTAAGATAATTACAAAATACAAATATACATATATAGTAGATATATGTTGACAAAATCTCACGTTATATACACTCAGATATTTTCCTAAAATTGAGTTTTGTTATTCATTCATAATTGGAGGCTTTAAATAGCCGTAACACTTATAATATTATGGGAATAAAAATAAAATTTCAAAATAAAATATCAACTATCTTAAAAATAAAATCTCTTTAATCTATCATAAAATAATATTGTACCTAGATAAATAAAATATCATAACTACGTATCCCAATTTTATCTCTATCAAATCAAACTAAATATTACTAGACCTAAAAACTAATAAAATAATATTTAAACAAAATTATTAATAAAATCCTAAAATTTAAGTTTATCCCAACAAACTCTCGCATAAACTTAAATTATTCCTTCCTTCATTCAGCTTTCCATGTGCATCATCCCACACCGGGTTTGCTTCTTTCAACCAGATTTGAGTTGGAGTTATCCAAGATCTTACTAGTCATACCTTGCTTCAAGCACCTTCTCTCCAATATTTTCAGCTCTAGTTCATACAACCGGTTCTTCTTCGCTTTTGCTTGGGTTGCTAGACGACCATGTTTATCCTTTAAATACAATACATGGTCCTTCATAAAAATTGAATTATCTTTTTAAATTATCTGACCAATGCTTAAAATATTGCTCTTCAGCTCGGGAACTGTTAGGATATTTATCCTATTTTATCATCATTATAGTGTGTCAAGGGTTACCCTATTTATCATGATTATATTATGTCTAG